AATCATTGGCTGTCGCGGGCCGGATTGATGACACTGGCGGGCTGGATTTGGCCCGCGGGCCGTAGTTTGGAGACCCCTGCTCTAATCTACCCCATCCATCTACCAATTAAATACTGTTCGTTAACCTATTTAGACAAATCTAGTGACAAAATAAAAATTTTCTTGACGCAACACAGTTTTACAATTTCCTATAAAACAAGCAATAATTTGAGCAAATTCATCAAAAATAGTAAATTTGAAACCGAAAAATGTGGAGTTGCCTTAAAACATATGTCGGTAGAACTTTTAGAAATTTCAAATCTCTCTTTTCTTCAACATAAAAGAGATTCAAATTATTGAAGTCGCCTTATTGGTGATGCAAATTTTGAAATTTTACATTCAGAGAGAAAAGGCTTAAACTAAATTTTTTAGATACACTTGGAATCAACAAAAGAAAACAATCCAATTATTCAGAATTTATTGAATCGTATTATCATTAAAACTAAATGTGTAAATCAAATATCAGATCAATCTGTCAACAACATGGAATTTCTCCTTCATTTTATAGGCTCATCCATTTATTTCTTTCTTCATTGTTTGCATTGAAATTTGCACATCCTGACAGATAACCGCAGCCGATCCTCAACCACCCAATCAGTAAATTTGAAATTTAATATTGATCGTAAACAACTAAATATAAACAATCAACATAAATTATTGAAATTAAGTAATTTTTCAAAAATCTTTCGACACCTACTGCATGCATAATTCTTCGTAATTTCCTTCATCCTGCTCACCGGTTCTAAATCTTCATAGAAAACGACGTAGATACTGCGATTTTCAATCAATTACACCATAACCGTTTCAAGGAAAAACAGTTAAACCGTTGAAAATTATCAGGCATAAAAGAAGTCATTATTTTACCGCGTGTAAACACGGTGCAAAGTTATGGATCCGTTGAACATTAATTTTATTTATAGTCAATCAAGTTCAATCAATCTCGAGACCCTAATTTATTCACCAATGTCCTGTTCAAAACAACTTTTTCGACTACTTCCTTGCATACTTTGCATCCAGGAATCTCACATACATACGAAAAATATTGTTTTGATGACTTGAAGAACAATATTTCCCAAAACTGGAAAATTAGGCACTACTGACCAGTGCCGATGCAACTGACGCAATTTTCAATACATTTCATCGATTTCCTCAAATCAGCCGCTGACCACCATACAGTAACCATGGTCTTTATTGGATTATGCCCCACCAAAAATCTAAAGGCAACGTATTAGGTGTTCTAATAGGCCATTGTAAGAGGTCACATTTGCCTATTTACTATTTTATATAATTGTCGGCTAGCCACTACAATGAACAGTAACTGTTACGTATGATCAGTTGAAAACTCGTCCGAGCTTTTCAATTATCCAAACCGGCAGACACGCAGACGTGATCCTTCAGAAGAGCTCACTAGATCACCTGATACGACGCCTCTAGATGAGGGTAGGTTAGGTTAGGTTAGGTCCAAAGTTAGTGGGTCTATTCGACTCTCTACCGCAACCCGCAAGGGTTTATTGTGGCTCACACCTATTCAAACTCTACCAAATAAACCCAACTTCTTAACGGAGCCGATTAGTTTGTATGGTGAGTGGTCTTTCAGGTCAGATGGTAAGAGTACGGCTCTGCCTAACTCTAAAAACCTGGGTAGGCACAAAATATATGCTCTGTTGTTTCATCGTTAATGAGGTAGTCGGTTAGTCAAGGTGCAAGATTCCCACCTTGATACCCGCGACAACCTTTCCATATGAGGGTTTTTGCACGTCAGCTACACCTGACGATGCCTTAGATTCAACCGTGCAGGGCTTTGGGTTTGGATGAATCATTACTTGAGCGCAAACGTTTGCTAACCTGCTCATGGGGGGTTTGTTCCTCCACCTGAGACAGATTCTGCGTACGCTGCTTAAGAATTTGGTGCAAGGCGGTTTTATAAGGTACCCCGCTCTTGAGCAGACGACTCAGTCATTTCCTGGCTTCACCACCAAACCTTTTTTTTAGGTTCAGTTATTGGATCAGGAGTTGGGGAGTTGAGAAGCATTCGCTCCTGAACTAAACTTACAGGGAGGTTAGTTGGAGTCGTAAACTCGACATCCATCTCCTCTGTAGACTCGCTCCTGAACTAAATTTACAGGGAGGTCAGTTGGAGTCGTAAACCCGATCCGTCTCCTCTGTAGACTCGCTCCTGAACAAAATACAGGGAGGTCAGTTGGAGTCGTAAACTTGACATCCATCTCCTCTGTAGACTTGCTCCTGATCTGAATTTACAGGGAGGTCAGTTGGAGGGAGGTCAGTAAGCTCGACATCCACCTACTCTATAGATTCAGCGTCAGAAAGAATTTTTAAGTTCACTCTGTCCATAAAAATCCCACGAGTAGCTAGGGAAAGAAGGTCAATCACGGCAGAGCCCCGCATTACCGTGACAAGGCGATGCTACGACGAGAGGGCGACCGGTATCTCGAAGGTTCCGTAGAGACAGCTGATAGGCTCAGTGGCATTCATCCTTTCGGCACGGATACACACACCTTAGGATTAAACCATCGCTGGGATGAACCATAAGTGATTCTGTCATTTCCGTATCCAGCTGAGCTACGTGGAAGCAGGCATCCGATGGCCGGTTTGCTCAACCCCCACATCCCAAGCCGATGCACTCGCCAAAAACAGCATGCACAGTGGTTCAGGCGGTGAAAGATGAACAAGGACAGCCAATCCGCCTAAATGAGGGTAGCGTGATATCTAAACTGCACGATTCACAACCGTAGTCCATTTCCGAACACAAGTCGTTTAATTCCGTCAGCATAAACATTGGGTGCTCGGGATTCGATGAACTCGACGAAGGCCGTTGTTGACTGGTCCTGATCGGCGAAGATTCTACCGTTGAGAAAGTTATCGAAAAGATGGTAGTCAGTTGAAAAGAGGTATTGGGTTATGGTAGATGAGACAGAACCTCGACGCTCAACTCATTTAATTTTCGGACGGTGATTTGTGGAACGTGCGGATGGGCGTTATCGTGAGGCATTAGTTTTTCGGGCTGTTTCGATAGCGTAGTAGAGTAGGCCTCACTTCAGGCAGACAGTAAAGTCTGCACCAAATTGTCACGTGGTGTCCTCAAACTGTCATCAAGCTAGCTGGGTGGTGAGACAGCCAATCAGAGTGTACCAAATTGTCACGTATCGTCCTCAAACTGTCACCCAGCTCGTCAGCTAATCAGAGCGTACGCTTCTGCATCTCAGAACATCGTGACGGGAGATTTTAATTTTCTGTGGACATGAATAATCCAAGCAGACAGACCATCCAGACAATCAGGATCAGGCGCATCCCTTAACAAGGCAGACAACCCAGTCACGTGGCGCGCTTACGTCAACCCATCTTTTCGCTCAACACATTTTTGTTTCACCACAGCCATGACGTCAAAGAAAAACTCTCCCGCACTGAGAAATATCTTGATTCTCTCAAAAAAATTAAATTTTCCTGTAACGTCTTCATAGGTCACGTAGTTTACTCGACTCCAAATTTACCCCATTTAATGAATGAATTACCTTTAATTTTCAGGTAGCAGTGATATTCACCATCAGTCTCACAGTATGAACAACTACTCACTAGATAGAAAACTGCGGTCTTTCTGCCCTTCTGCGTCTTCATCGCCGCGATTAGAAATGAGTTCCCTCTCCTCCCTTCCTCATGGCCATAAGCTGGTCAACTACGACAGTCTTGAGAGTGTTCGAAAATCTCCCGTGTCCAATGCTGACAGTTCTGTTACGTACGTATATCAAATCGATATTTCTCTTGTGAAGCAGAAAATTTTAAGGGTGCTCACCATTATATTCATTATTTTTCAGGCACAAACCCTCCTACCAAACGTCTTCCAATCACAGTAGTCTAGTGGACCTCACCCCCTCTCCGTCAGACTCTGGTATCTCAGAACTGGAGGCTGCTCTGAGATATCGTGACTCTGAGGTTGCTTACCTTCGTCAAACGATGGAACACAACGAACAGGTTATCTTCAGAGTGTACCAAGAGAAGGAGAAAGTTTGGGAAAGAGAACTCAGAAGACTCAAGACTGTCCAAGAGAGCAGACTGCGGACAAGCGCTCAAAAGGTTTGTTGGTATATTTCACAAATAGTTTTGTTCGTGAGAATTTTTTTTGTTGATTTAATTGATCGCAAAGAGACTTTGATAGAAATAGTAGAGAAAAAATTTAATTTAGGGGTTAAGACTTTTTGAAATGTTGCAGGTTCATTTCAGAGTCCAAATGGTATTCGTGAATTTTATTCAGTGTTGGTTTGTGAAATATCACAATGTGAGTTACTTTTTCAGGTCCACAAACTAGAACAGATGTTGATGATGCAGACCTATCAACTCCAACAAGACAAGAAACGACTTAGTTCTGACGTTCAGCGATCGAATATGCAATGCGATAGGCTGAGACAAGAAATTGATGAACTAAGAAATAGATTGGAAGAGACAGAATGGGGATTGTGTCAAAAGACGGGAGAGATATCTTTGCTGAAAACTCAGTTGAAGGAATCCCAGGTGAATGATTTTTAAACGCTAATATTAGAGGTAGAAAAAGCGCGTTCCTTGAACGAAAAAGTCTTAGCAGTATCGTGCTATCTTATTTCTAATTGATTAACATATCTGAAGTAGATGGGGATCTATTTAAAATAGAAAATTCAATTCACAGTTACAAAACAAAAATAATAACAAGAAAACTAAAACTGTTTACCTTCAGAAACTCAACCACTTGTGCAGGGCAGAAAGCAATACCAGCCCAGGAAAGTTCAGATAGAAGTGACAACTATAAAAATACACTTCCACTTCCTTGTCATTAACTATCTACAACTTATTTGAAAAATGGTATATTCATAAACATAACTCATTGCATGCTGCGAGTGCTAGTTGCCATAGTGTTTGGTATTATTGAATAGTATTGTACAAAAAAAGCAAAAGTTATGTTGTGAAGAAAATGGATGGTTACAACGTAAAAAACTCATATTCGAAACCAAGCTCGCGCAGCAATGATATAAAGACGATTGAAAGATAATGCCCCTTTTTGAGAACAACCAACTTAAATCTTGCATCACTGTTTCTAATTCAATTAATTCGAAACATGTTTTAAAGAAATGTCCATGATTTTTACAGATTGACCAAACAACGAAATGCCAGGAGCTCATCCAACTTCGGACAGACCACCGTGAACTGAGGGATCAACTAGAAGAAAAGAATAAACAAATACACAACCTGGAGTCCTCCAACGCAACAAAAGACGAAGAAATAAATCAGCTCAAAGAGGAACTCTCTAAGATAACTTCACCTTCACCATCCCAGTATGGCTCTCTGGACTCAATCAACAAGAACCAAGGCTTGATTGAAAAGTTGAATGCCGAAATAACGGAACTAAGGCAAGAACTATCGGAAAAAAGCCTCAGTTACTACAACGGCGTAGAAGCGGGCCGAGGCAAGAGAGGACCGCTCATCACCGAAGAAGAGTCTTTGGAGGATCTGGAAATCCAAAAGTTCAATGGCCACCTGGAAGTTAGCGAAACCGAGAAGCTGCGCAAGGAACTTGAAATGAAATCAAAACAATTCGAGAAGGAACGGATGCAATGGGCTAAAGAAAAAGAGAAGGTGCTCACGTACCAAAGCCAACTGCGATTGAACTACGTTCAAATGTTGAAGAGAAGCAACGCGCTCGAAGAGGAAATAGAAAATTTGACGCTCGAATTGGAATTGGAAAGAACTGGGCTCAAAAAGAAGTTGGAACTGTCACAGACCATAGAGTTATGATCGATTGGAGTGAATTGTTTTAATTCGTCACTTTTTCTCATGTAGATTCGATTCTACATTCAGAGTTAAAAGTGATTTGATTACTTTCTACTGTTTTCATGATTCTCCATTTTATTTATGACCGGACATGACGAAATCTATTTTTCGCATTATTATGCTCTAGATGGTATTGGAAAATACTGGGTGGATTTTTCAACCTGATATTTGTAGAATTATCTAGAGATGAAAATGGTGGAAACTTCTGTTCTGGTATCTGTAGAGTAGGAAGGGTGAGTGTAGATCCACAGTACTTAGGCCACATGTGACCCATTGTACATCCTCCCGAGGAGTTTTCCTCCTAGGTCATCGTCCATCCTGTCCTTTCCAGGAAGGTGGACCGGTCACTAGGAGACATCTCCTTTATATTGGCAGGTGTAGGACAAGACTCGCCGAACACACACTCTCTGTGGCAACCTTGAGGTGTCTCACGGTGGCCTCCGCGAAGGTTTTCGAAGGTGCAGCGACATTACTGTCGTTGCGCATTACTTCTTCAACCTTCTTGGGGTTCCCTCCGTGAAGGTTCACAAGTGAGGGAGCTTTCCTGCAGGGGCAGCCGGCTCCTTTCCTTTATTCAAGGCGGAGCTCTTGGTGCCCGCCGCAGGAAGTGCCCTTGCTAATGGAAGTGGAGTGATGAGGAGGAGTGGGCATATATAGTTGCTGCCACTCCTGCCTCTATCGCTCTCTTTCTCCTTTTGGCCTCGGCGCCGCAAATGCCCTTACGCCTTGGCCTTTGTATTACATCACGAGGTGATCTGCTATGTCCAGCCTCATTCCAAGCGGTAGATTGGGGTGGAAATTTCTGTTCATCCCCAGCCACCACCTCAGATTGAGGTGAGCACTTCTGTCCAGCCTCGGGATTGGTTTTTGTTTTTGTTGTTTCTGTTTTTGTTCCATTCGTGTGTGTTCCCCCGAGTAGCAAGGGAAGAGTTGGTCAACTCTGGCAGAGGTAGGCTGATTACAATGAGGTTTCGCCCAGTTTCCCAAGGGGATCGTTCGTGACCGCATATCACCTGGCATGTTTTGTAAAGGCTTTTGGGGAGTTTTAGTTCCCCTCCCCCTACTTATTTCTGCCACTGACCAGGAGTCCGACGACCCCGTCCGTAAGGTCACATTGGCTTCCCGAACAGGGCCTCCAGTCCCCTGGCCGTTCCCGTATCCGCCACCTGGGGGAGCACCCGATAGGTAGCCCAACCCACGGGGGAAACTTTTGTTTCAATATGCTGATATTGAAAATTGATCATTTTACTTTATTAATGATTGAATATTGAACACTCTATTTTAAATGAACTGAGCTCTATTCTTTATTTCTTTGAAAACTATTACTAAATTTGTAACTTACAAGATATACTGCGGAAATCAATAAACTATCAGTGAATAGAAAACCTCATTAAATTCCACAAAAAATAATGATTAGATAAAGTTCTGCTTAATGAGAAATCACCCACATGGTGTAAGTAATCACACGTTAAAAGGTAAGACCCCGGTAGTCCTTAGCTCTCACAAGTTTCCACTTCTGAGGGTTGTCGTTCGTAGGGGTGCGACAGCTGGTTAACGGAAAAACATATTTAAACATTTGAAACTCTAGATAATTCTAATATCAGTTGAAAATTATTTTGTATTTTCCAGTAAGGTTTGTCTTGGCATTTTGAAGACAAGGAAAGTCACCACTTTTGCAATCACTTCTCTCGAACTGTATTCATAAAATTTATTATCATTAAAAAGCAGGGAACTCACTTTGTGAGTGAGATGTGCCATCTAATGAAAAATCAATCGGCATTCAAGAAGTAGTGGTTGTACAGCTTGTCCAATCTAGAAAGCGACCTCAAAGTCTCTGCTTAGGACCTTCCTTAAGATGCACGTTCGTTAGGAGACTGTGAGAGAAAGAGATATAATTCTCAAGTCTCTTTCTAATTTTGGCAAGTTGTACAAACAACATTATTCAGTCGTCCTACTCAACACTTTGCGGACAGCCAAGTTGCACTGCTTTGCGTTCGATCACATCGCTTTCGTGCCGAATTCGCTTACGTGTCGCCCTACGTAAGCGAACTCAACGCGAACAGCCAAGTTGCACTGCTTTGCGTTTGATCACATCGCTTCCCGCCAAATTCTCTTACGAGTCGCCCTACGTAAGCGAACTCAACGGGAACAGCCAAGTTACACTGCTTCGCGTTCGATCGCATCGTTTTCGCGCTAATTTCGCTTACGGGTCGTCCTACGTAAGCCAACTCAGCGAGATCACGTTACGAACAGCCAAGTTGCACTGCTTTGCATTTGATCGCATCGCTTTAGCGCTAAATCGTCCTACGTAAGCGAACTCGACGCTATGCGGACAACCAAGTTGCACTGCTTACCGGTCGAATCACCATTTCAACTGAAATCTGAACGGTAAATAGATGAAACTTCTATTGAAAACTGGACTTCTTGTTATCGCACGTTAAAAGCTAGTCTGCCTTACTTTCTAAGAAACAATATTGACAGTTCATCACTTTTGGTGTGTCTACATATTTTCAAATTAATTCATGCATTATTTTTTCCGAAATGATAGATATGATACTTCAACTATTATCTCCTTTTAGGATAATCCGAGACCGAAAGCCATGGATATGGATCGATATTGAAAGAATTAATTCTTTGGCTCATTTAGAGGTTCGTCATATGTTGTTCTTTCGTTTCTACTTTTTTCATTATCACTTCTTTGTAATAGCCTCCAATCGATATCTTTGCATCAGTGTCTTCTTCAATTAATTTGAGCAATGAAGTAGTATCTCAACCAATTTAATCGCATGTGAAACTAAGATAAAAGCTTTACTTTTCAGAAATGAGGTATTTAAAATATTTTTACCACTGGGTTCAAATACTTCTGCCTCATACCTGTTACATCTACCTCTAACTCAAAAATGGCCTTTTCGAAGCTTGAAAAAAAACAATCTTGACATTATGCTAAAGTGATGAGGATGTTAGGGCTATATCGGATTTCAAAAGTTGAAATATTTTACAATTTAATCAGTTAGTAGTAGAAATATGAGTATAGTTACTAAAGTGGTGGTCTTTCCTCGGTCAGTAGACGTATTCCTCGTTGTTGGTGCTCAATATATCAGCTCCTTAACTTATAATGTATGTAGTGTTTTTCAGAGTTATTTGAAATATCGTAGATATTTTCTAACATTTGTTAGTGTTTTATTATCATTCAAACTTGCTTCCACTTTGTAATCCATCATTTATTAATTGTGAGCTCTTTCTCGTGTGATTTTTTTCATTATTTATTTTTTACATTGTATATATGAGTTTTACTCCAACTTTATATTTTTGGTTTAACATATTTTTACCACTATTCCTGAGGTAGGTAAGTGAAATTTTGTTACTTGTGTATATATTATATAATTTACAGTGAAGAATAAACGTTATTTTTTATCTTAAGACTTTATTATTCCTTATTCATCGATAAAACAATACATTCACATATATAAGGGTAAAATACACTCCTCAACAATCAAATTGTATAGTTGTTTCATAGGAAAGGTAGAATTGAGGGACATCTGACATAGAATGAACTTCAACTTTGATCCCCCACTCCACAACTAAAACACCTCGACACGCGTTTCATCAACCAAGAAGGCGTCATCAGGATATAAATTAGAGTTCCTTTTCTGACGCCAACTCAGTTGATACATTATTCTAGTGATGTTCTATTAATAATAATCAAACGCAGTGCTTATCTTCCTCAGTACAAGCCGAAATGTTAAGAATTTATGATTTTCACTAACAGCAAAGCAAAGGTCGATATTTCAGTGAAATTAGAAACGTTCATGTCGATTAAAAATATTCGTTAAAAATGTTCCTCATGACTAAAACTAGGAAATGTTATGAAATTGAATAAATTGATGAATGTAGCGGGTACTACATGGTAGTTCATCATAAAAAATGGGAAATGAAACTTTTAACAAGATATGCAATAACAAACATAATAATCTATCAAGAGACATATAGTGAATTTACTAATATGTGGCATTACAAAATTCAACGACAATATTTAGAGGCGATACCTTTTACTTCAGGCTACATCTACATATGATACATACTTTTACCGAAAACTGGAAATTAGATTTAATGCTATAATTTTATGTAGACCGTCATCATCCCAGATTCTTACTCGTACGAATCATGCCGCTTTTTTTCGCAAAAAAACTTCATTAATTCGAACGGCAACGAATATTAATTGAAAAATATTTTTGACAGCTATAAACTTTTAGTTTTGAATACACCGACCCGTTCATTGGTGAAAAATCAATGACACTATTGATGATAATTACAAATGTTCATAATATAGACTTCATTTCCAAAATGCCCTAACAATTACAAAAATCAACAACAAAAAATATTTCGCATTTTCTCACAAAAACATATACAGATACATCTACCAACAACCATTCTACCTCTTAATAATGAACCCATTTGTCCTTCTGACAAAAATCAACTGCAAGAGTAAGGGACCTAGGCTCCAACCTGATTGAACTGAGGATGCCTTCACACAACCATTCTAATCACCCTTTCCACCATAAACTAGCAGCTTATTACAGTGTCCCTATTAGTCCGGTCAAATTAGACTAAAAATAAGAGTGAAGGTACATAAATTTACAACAAGTTGCAAATGCGTGTAATTGTTCAAAACATAGTTAAAAATGAGATTTTAAAATTCCAAATGATTGCGATGCCTGGAAAAAAATTTATTCGAGGTCAAAGGTCAAAAATCTCGAAAAAAAAAATGGTTTTTCGCGATTTTCAGGGAAACGGTAAGTTTTATCATAAAATAACTTCAGATAAAAATTGTAGATCATAAAATTCTTTATAAAAAATGTATCAATACTTTTTTTCTTAGAGCCACCGTTTCTGAGATACGATTAGTCAAAAAGTTCTAAAAGTTGTAATCGTCATTATATGCATAAGTATGCCACGTATATACATCTCTGAAGTTGTAATTTAAGTAAAAAGATTTTTCTATTGGTATACATGAGTATAGATATAAGAATATCAGTATTACTGCAGTATTTCAAGATGAAATTGAGGAATATTTTGAATATGAATTGGCTCCCTACCCTTTATCGTTGTATGATGTCTGCCATTTACGATTGTATCCAACAGGTCAATATTGAAATTAACAATACTAATACGACATACATCATTGACGGTGGATACTTACTACATCGTGTTGTGTGGGATAGTGAAGAATCATTTAGCATTATTTTAGATAAATACGTTCAGTATGTACGTAGACATTTTGGTGCCAGAATTACGGTCATATTTGATGGCTATGATGATTGCCAGGAAAAGCTCAAAGCCAAACCGAAATATATTCGTCAAAAAGTTTATCTACTTTTGCAAAGAGTCAAAATTATGTACTATTTTTACACGAAATAACTGACTGTGATACGATAGAAGATCAAGAAGAAGAAGAAGACCAAGAAGAAGAACGACAAGAAGAAGTATTTGAAGGTTATGACTCAGATGAATAAATTTTTACATTTTTTTTTTTATTTCAATCGCCTTCTTAATTTCCAACCCTTCCTAAGTACACTACCTCATAAGTGGCGTGGAAACGTGTGCATATAATGACGATTATAACTTTTACAACTTTTTGACTTGTCGTATCTCAAAAACGGTGGCTCTAAGAAAAAAACGATTGATACGTTTTTTGTAGATAATTTCATCATAATCTACAATTTTAATCTGAGATTATTTTATGATAAAACTCACCGTTTTCCTGAAAATCGCGAAAAACTAATTTTTTTCGAGATTTTTGACCTTTGCCCTCGAATAAATTTTTTTCCAGGCATCGCAATCATTCGGAATTTTAAAATCTTATTTTTAACTATGTTTTGAACAATCACACACGTTTGCAGCTTGTTGTAAATGTATGTACCTTCCAATGTCTAGATTGACCGGATTATGTCACCGGAGTATTTTATTGAAGAACTAAATTTGATAAAACAGGTGACAGTAAATAACAACTTCAATCTGGGCATGATTCATCACATCCTTGACAAAAAACCATTCAAACAAGCCCTCTAACAAATATTCCCTAACATCAAAGATGAATACTAATACTTTAAAAATACTGACTATACAAGAAATGCATCAGAAAAGATAATTAGACAAATAACCAAACAGAAAATCAACATAGCATACAAGACTGATAACACCTCGTGTAGAAATAAACAACAACAGCAAATCCAATATCGAAAAAGATAACAAATCGGGTGTCTACAAGCTGACATGTATTTCTTGCCCATAATTTATATTGGAAGAAAATCTAGAAATTTCGAAATCAGAATCTCGGAACACAAACATATGCACGCCATCTGTTGGAAAACAACTACGACTTTTATATAAACTATGTACTACATATGTATAGAAAATGAAAGAGAAAAGTTGAACCTGCTAGAATCCCTGGAAATGAATGAAGATAAACAATCAAATTTCCTATTGAACAACCAACAAGAAGTTAATTTCTCACCACTGTTAAATCTATTTTCAAGAAAAATTTACTAAAACTAGTTAAATCGTTAGTAACAATAATTTACCTGCCTACTCACCGATTAGTAGTCTCTATTAATTGAAAATTAAGTCCCATATTGTGGACCTATAATGTATCTTACACATTAGTACCATTTCATTTACTTACTACAAACTCTATATGGAAATCCACAAAGGTAGTGAACATATAGGATCATGCAGATAGCAGTGCATTATAACGAATATATCACAATCTAATTAAAATCTGGATCTAGTTAAAAACTTATTCTTTTTCTTGGGAGGCGACTGTTCCAACGTTTTGGACTTGGAAAATCCCTGACTCTTCGGAAAAGTAATTCTACTTGGTTGATTTGCTGCCTCTTGGACGTCGATAACTCTGGATCCCTTCCTATGAACAACCAAATTGAGATTTTATAAGAAAAATGTGCACACAATCAAAATAATATATTGGGAACAAATGTACCTATTAATGAAACACTTTAGTTCAGTGACTACTATTATATACATTTTTCTTCACATCTCTGATAATATCGAGATTTCAAAAGATACTCTTATTAAAAATTAATACTGTAACGAATCTGAAGCCGGCCCTGACCGATATCTCAGCCAGTAAACACATGACTCATCGCGAACCACCGCGAAAGGTATAGATGAGTGCCGAAACCCCTAAAGAGATCTGAGCCAAAGCTTGCCGATATAAAAAGGCCGCTTCCCTTCCCGAGCAGCAGTCTGTATTCAGAAAGCGATTCGTGCGTTTAAATAAAGAATAAGAGCAGTGAAGATAAATTAAGCGTTAGTTACTGGAATATAAATTAGTTGTAATAGTGAAATTTTGTTAAAAATAAATTTGTTTAAGACAGGTAATTCTTTAATTAGTAACACTACATTTTTTAAATTTAAACACCCATAAAAATCATTTTTCAATGTATCACACACCTGCAGAACTTACCTGATCAAATCAGGCATACCTGGGATATTTTCAAATTTTGCTGGAAAAGACGATGATGTCATGATTCGGTCCGATCTAATAGTACGATGTTTGAAGAATATTTTGAGCAAATGTTGGACTTCATTCCACTTCTGTGATTGTGGTATCACCACAAATGTTTTTTATTGAATACCAAACATACGCCACTGAAGGTATAAAAACGACCCGAATGCTCATAAAATGTGTTGTTTGCGAGCAGTATGACATACAAAAATAGTGTGAGCACTTTTTACTATACTTACTACTTTTATTATAAGGAAAATAGTATGTAGAACAATGGGGATTGTTCCTCAATTTCTGTTATTACAGCAAATGCAAGTTTGAACAAAATAGAGTTGAGTTTGATTCATGAGTTTTTCAAATTCACTTCGAAAAGTATTCAAATTGATGTTTCAAATGTTGGGTTTTAATTTTTAAAGGGATTTGTTTCAAATGCACATATTGGCAACAGCGCCTATATCAAGTTGAAATAATTTATACGTACTTTCTTAAGCCGATTAGTCTGTATAGTGAGTGGTCTTTCATGTCAGATGGTGAGCGTACGGCTCTGCCTAACTCCAAAAACCTGATTCGGTTCCCGGTGGGGCAGGCACGAAGTATATGCTCCGCTGTTTCATCATTTTCCAAACAGAGGCGACTCACACTGTCTTCTGACAGTCCGAGACTTTGCATATGATGATTCAAGAAGGCCTGTAAGACATCGTAATTTTTCCCTACTGTAGTCCAACAACTGTTTGGAATCAAGCTTCGAAGGGTGAATAAACGCCTTGGATTGCTATGTACATAAATGTACGGAAAAATTAATGACTCAAAAGATTGCCGGTAATAACAGATAATATCTAATATATAAAAATGAATGTTTGGTTGGTTGGTTGGTTGGTTGGTTAATTGATTGGTTGGTTGGTTAAGTGATAAACTTCTACATCGATCAACCGATCGTGATGAAACTTGACATGTATAAGTAATTTTTCCTAGAGAAGGATTTTAGGCTATCAATTTTTGTGTAACTCGCCACTAGATGGTTCTGTAGAACAATTTTTTGAAAGCACTGTTCTATAACGCTGCGCACGCTTCCTAGTAACCTGTCCACCTTCCTGGAAAGGACAGGATGGACGATGACCCAGGAGGATTACTCCTCGGGAGGATGTACAATGGGTCACATGTGGCCTAAGTACGTGGGCTTACACTCACCCTGCCTACAGATACTTTTACAGAACGCTGCGTACGCAGTTCGTTGATTCTGATTCTTTCAAAACATTAGAACAGCAGCGATATAGCAAGTTAGTACTAGTAAGATATGAAGTAACTGCAACTGTTATCAAAAGACAAAAAAGGCAGTAACGAGAAAACATTTTCATAACCACCAGTAATAATAATTTTGAATTTGACATTCAAACATAGATGAGTTAAGTCTAGAACTCACGCAGTATTGAACTGATCCTTCAAAGGAGACCCTTGCTGCACAGCGATGGCATAAGGTTTCCTGGAGAACTCTTCACCAACAACCGTGAGATCACAATTGGTTTTCTCTAAATATTTTATATCTGTGGCATCTCCGAGGAACGCGAAACCTTCGCTTGATGATTTGGACGCTCGTACTTTTTCTAAGGCCTCCTCCATAGTATTTGGAAGGCCAGCTTCTTTCATCGCCTGCCACATCTTCGTGTATTTATCGCTCACTGGATAATCCCATACAGCCAGTTTGGCGCGTTCTACTTCTGACAAACTGTCATTGAGGCTCATGTCCTTCCATATTCTGAAAAACAAACGATTTGAGGCTCCCAACAAGGTGCTAAGTTTTCGACACATATTTTTTGTAGAAGCGACATTTTGCGTCTTCAAAAAACAGTGAATTCATAAGTTTATTGGTTTGTATCAATTAGTAGCAATATATCAATGTAAATATATTTTATTTACAATAAAACTTTGTAAATGATGAAATCTCAATTGGAATCGATAAAACGATCAATATAATTTAATGTTTGAAGATGTTGTTCGCGGCTCCGCTTTAGATGGCCCATGCGCAAGGTCCAATTTTGGCAAACTCTCTCTATCATAGCGATCGGTATTTCTCTTATAAATGCTTCGATATTGACTTCCAGAGCATCAGTCGTTGCTGGTTTATCCCTGTAGACATGAGCCTTAACATGACCCCACAAGAAATAATCCAAAGGCGTTAAATCACACGATCTAGGCGGCCAATTAACGGGCCCCAAACGTGAGATAAACTGTTCGCCGAAGATGGCTCTTAATTGGACCATTGTTTCGCGTGTCGTGTGGCATGTGGCACCGTCTTGTTGAAACCACAGGTCAGGCATGCAAAATTCTTTCATTTTGGGCAACAAAAAGTCGTCAATCACCACACTGTAGCGCTCGCCATCCATAGTAACATTTCGGTCATCGTCGTTTTTGAAGAAGTACGGAGGATGTCACCGACCCATAATCCACACCAAATAGTGACTTTTTCGGGATGCATCAGTAGCCCTTGCAATGCTTGTGGCTGGTCTTTACTCCATATGCGGCAATTTTGCTTGTTAACGTATCCATTCAATCAGAAATGAGCCTCGTCGTCATAATTTTTCGATTAGAATGTAGATCTTCCTCAAACTTTACCAGCACCCATTCACCAAATATTAGACGTTGTGGAAGGTCATGTGGTTTCAATTTTTGCACCAGTTGTATCTTGCACATTTCACGATCATCACGAACACTGACAGATACAGCCGCAATATTTTTTTCAATCCTCACTCTGCGTATGCGTGTTGGTGGTTTAATGTCCAATAATGCAAACTTGGTTCGAAATTTAGGCACAAGCTTCCGAATAGCTCCCTCAGTAAGCCGATAAAACTGCCTATAAATTGGGAGAAGTGCACGATGCAATTGATAATGATAATTTTTGGGAAAGAAAGTTTTTGGCTTTCTACCACTCCATCTTGAAAGCCATATCATAAATTATTCAACTGTTAGATCAATAATGGAATACAACTCCACGATGTGATGCCCCTCATATAATTGTTTATTCATTTATGTGCTATTTGTGATACTTACTCATAGAACTTTGCTTCGATATTCGCCATTCTTTCGAAGTATGTTTGTGTTGAGGAACCATTCAGAGGTGCATACTGAATTTTATATTGCTTAGATAGATCGTCCAGGGACTCAATCGGGGTGTCGAGTCGAGAAACTGTCAAAAAAGCTGCCAAATTTGCAGTGTAAGATGCAATGATGATGAATCCAAACAGCCACCAAGTAGCAGCCACCAGTCGACCAGATAAGTTTTTGGGAGCTTCGCCTCCGCCTTGAGGAGTTAGAGAAGTCATGCAGAACCACAAGCACTCTTTCAGATTGAATTCCCTCTTCTCCTCGTCATCTTTGTATTTTTCCCGATTGTTTTGGTAGCTGTATGGAGACCAGCGGTCAAAAATCCACATGAGAAAACTGAAAATTGAGAGATATGGTATAAAATAATCAAGTGTAACTTCTGTGCAACAAGAGTTCCTTTTTGTGTATCCTGAATAATTACTAATTAAAACTAATTTAGGTAGGTATGAACATCTTGAAAACCAGAGGGGACAACAGAGACCAAAAACGTCTCCTATCCAATGTATAACGAACTATGAAGTGGCAACTAAGCTTTCACAATTGTACTGGTTCAAACTAGGATTTTGTCCAGATTTCTGTTGGTTGAGCTGAGGCCATTCAAATAAAAGTATTGTACCACATAACGATGACCAATTTTCTCCATTTTTACAAATTCGCCGAAAACTTTCGCTATTGATGGCTGCCAAACAAATACTAAACAACGCCGCGTCTTCAAACTTGAAACATATGCTTTATATATTGTGTACTTTCTAAAACAGTTATATTTTTCAAACAACTACCGCCACCTCTAGGCCAATCTTGGTACTTCTGGAACCACCCTCGTAGTAAAAGCATCATTTCACTAAAAAACCCTCTGATGAGAACGGTCCTAGAGCAGAGTTGTCTTGAAAGAGTATGTGAAAAAATTCGTTCGATATATTGTTAGTTTTTTTCCAAGGGATATTTGCCATCCTTAGTGTTTGTTGTTCCAACTTTTCAGGTATGGGTGATTATATCAAACGTTTTCTTGTAGGTTTCCAGAAGTATCTTTGTTGATCTCTTTTGTATCTGAATATTCCACGATTCACTACTTTTTTCTGATTATTTTAAAAGTTATGCTTTTACTGTCTCTGTAAAAGAAATTCACGAATGCAGTTTGCCCCACTCTGATGTGTTTTGGATACAAACAACGGTGGATGGCTGTCAAAAGACGTATCCGATAGTACCAAGGTGTTTGTGAAGAAGAGAGATGATTAGCAATTTTCCAGTCTTTCTATGTTTTCATTTCAAATCCATAAAGATTTATCTACTCGGTGGTATTCTAGAATCTAAATTCATCTGTATTTATTTAATTCCCGTATTGTTCTTTCAAAATTAATGATCTCATTTTATTGATGTAATTGATGTCAAAAAAAAAACATCAAAACAAACTTTTCATGTTGGACGTTGTCACAATTTAGACTCAACCTCACTTTCACTATGTCAAATGTGTGAAGAATCATGTTGCCTGCTTGAGTTCGATCTTCATCATTGTATTCAAAGATATTAGATGTTTCTTCTTTTTGTTTTTTTAAGTATTTAAATAATTTTTTAAAGAAAAAGATTGAAATGATGAGTTTAAAATGCGTTGTTTTAGAGCTCTTTTATGAAAACTACTTGATTTTCGTCAGGAGGAACATTCCCCATTGACAATGAAATATTTTATAGTGTTTTTTTAAAGAGGTACGGAACTTTGAAATGGAATAAAACAAAGATGAATTTTTAAATTGACATGAAATTTACTTTATTCGAAAGATAATCTTCTGGCATTATAATTTAAATGCGACTTCTGGCATATGACCGCCATGGCTGGCTCGGACGTAGTCTAAACTGGAGGTCCAATTTTCTATGACTTTACAACATTTGTGGACAATAACGCGGCGAATGTTGTCTTCCAAGTGGTCAATCGTTTCGGGCCTATCGTCGTAACTAGCGACTTCACATATCCTTACAGAAAATAGTCTAGCGGCGTTAAATCGCACGATCTTGGAGGTCAATTCACAGGTCCATAACGCGCCGTCTAGTTGAAACCAGAGCTCCTGCACATCATGGTTTTCAATTGAGGAACGAAAAAATTAGTAATCATTGTTCTATGGCGGTTATCTTTAACTGTAACGTTCTGATCAGCATCGTTTTCAAATAAGTATAGACCAATGATTCCACCAGCCCATAAAGCACACCAGTCAGTTTTTCTGGATGTAACGGTGACTTAACATACACTTGAGGATTGTCACAACTCTAAATACGGCAATTTTGTTTATTGACGTATCCATTTAAACAAAAGTGAGTGGATACAGTGCGCGATACGTAGGTAGGTATTTCGAACGGAACCATGATTTTCAAAATAAATTTGCACAATTTGGAAGTGTTGTTCAGGTGTATGTCTATATATGTTAAAATGCCAAACCACCGTATAGAAGTAAACACCAAACCAAACTAAGCATAAAATCACTTGACAGCTGACAAAATGGCCGCCAGTTGAAAAAGTGTTGCCAACTTAAAGTTCTGTACCTTTATAAAAACGCCCTTTAACTATCATGAGCAGTAATTATTTATCCTACTGTAATTGAGAGTACCTGCAAGATCAATAACGTTATTGTTAATAATCAGTATTGATGAATTAATCAATGTGGGTAATAATTGAGACAACACGACAACAGATACAAAATAATGTTTTATGTATGTTCAACGGCCTTTTCTTCAATATAAGTTACCACAAAAGTCATTTTCGACAGGGGCAGCAGCATAATAATTCAGATAAAGTGATACCTACTCTAATACCGCTGATCTCCGCTAATATACCGCCTCTGACGTGGTAATTTGACTTCTTTGAGGCGCGACTTATTAATTACATTCATTAAAAACATTTTAGGGTTTATAGCAGTGTTAAATATTCCATAACAAATAAACCTACCTTGTAAAGAAATACGCTGCCAATATACATAACCACACGTCGGTTTCCAAAACTGTCAAGAATTTGAACAAACTAGTGGGAGTCTCAGGAAGTTTCATTAGTATGGTTATTCCTACAAGATCATAGTAAGGTACAGTGAAATCTATAACGTTTTCCCTTTCCGCCATCACTGACATGGAACCCAAACCGACATCAGCTCTCTTTTCCATAAGCTCCTTCACTACACCACTCCATTTTCCACTTTCATCCATCGTTCCAAAATGATCAACAGCTGTGATTTCATAATCGAATTGGAGGATATCTGCTATTTTTTCGATAAGGTCTATGCAGTAGCCACTGAATCCTTTCGGCGATGACTCGTCTCTAAATATAAATGGTTTTTGCTGAAACAGTTAGAATATTTTAGTGAGTTTTGAAATGAGAAAGTATGGGCTGAAAACTCTCCGGCCTAAGTAAGAAAATGTGTTATTTTTTTGTTCAAAATTTGCTTTATTCATCAACGTAATCCCCAACAAGAGCCACACAAAAACTCCAGCGCCGCTCTAACATTCCAATACAACTTTTGTAGAACGATTTATTTTTTGCCTGAAAATTCATTAATAACCTCTTCATTCGAGCGAAATTTCTTACCGAAGAGAATTTTTTTAAGGTCTGCGAACAGCCATTTGTCGCTGGAAGCTAAATCTGGCAAATACGGTGGATGTGACAGCAATTCAAAATTCAAATCATGTAGTTTCGACATTGTTTTGATTGACTTGTGACACGGTGAGTTGTCCGAATGAAACAACATTTGTTTCTTTGCCATATGCGGTCGTTTCTCTGCCGTTTCGGCATTCAAACACTCCAATAACGTTGATGTCAGAAGCATTTCCCCTTAAAAAAATTTGGGATCTCTCGCCATGTGATATGTCATTTTTTTCTAAGGGAATGAATACAGCAATGTCGAAGTTTAATTACCAATGCGAACCTCTTCATACCCAACACTTAAAGCTGGTTATCTTTCGATGAAAAAATTTTCATTTATATTCAATCACTTATTCATATGTCTTTTGACAGTCAAACATAAACCATAGAAAAAAAATAACCCGATGATACATAAGTAGAGTCCTACAAATAATCAACTGTAGCCGATCGTTAACCTCACCTCAACTGTAACAATCCGATAAACAACATCAGCTGTAAGATTCACCATCACTTGTGGGTCCGCGATAGTTAAATTGTTGTCAAAACCAGCTGACCAAGTTCCTAGAACGGTAGATTTATCTGAAGCTCCTTCTCGTACTCCCACCGAAGTTAATTGCATCTGAAACTCCATGTAACTCAAGCCATTTGAAACTAAAGTTATCGGCCCGTAGGTTGGTGGTTCTGAAATTTCCTGTAACGAGTTTTTCATGAAATTATTATTAAAATAATTAAAAACGAGTATCAAGACATTACCAACTTCAAGTATTAGTTGAATAACACTCAATACGATGTAGTAGTTCCCCTGACACACTGTATACTTCCCGTGGGTTGGGCTCCGTATCGGCCGCGTCCCCAGGTGGCGGATAGGGGAACGGCCAGGGGACTGGATGCCCTGTCTGGGAAGCCAATGTGCCCTTACGGACGGGGTCGCCGGACTCCTGGTCAGTGGCAGAAATAAGTAGGGTGAGGGGAACTAAAACTCTCCAAAAGCCTTTGCAAAACATGCCACCGTGGACCAGCCTACCCAAGCTAAGGTATAAAGAATCGTGCCGATAGCTGAATGGCCGCAGGGTGATATGTGGTTACGAACGATCCCCTCGGGGAACTGGGCGAAACCTCATTGTAATCAGCCTACCTCTGGTAGTACGGCGCTTTGCCAGATGTGACCAACTCTTCCCTAGCTACTCGTGGGAACACACATGAATGAAACAAACACAAAAACAGAAACAACAAAAACAAAAATCAATCCCGAGGCTGGACAGAAGTCAATCTAAGGAGGTGGATGAACAGAAATGTCCACCTAATCTACCGCTTGGAATGAGGCTGGACATAGCAGATCACCGCGTGATGTATTACAAAGGTCAAGGCATAAGCGCATTTACGGCGCCGAGGCCAAAACGAGAAAGAAAGCGAAGAAGGCAGGAGTGACAGCAACTATAAGTACACCCTCCTCCTCCCCCACTCCACCTCCAACAGCAAGGGCACTTCTTGCGGCGGGCGCCAAGAGCTCCGCCTTGAAAAATGCAAGGAACCGGCTGCCCCTGCAGGAAAGCTCCCTCACTGGTGCCCCTCCACGGAGGTAACCCCAAGAAGGTTGAAGAAGCCGCGCAACGACAGTAATGTCGCTGCACATTCCAAAACCTTCGCGGAGGCCACCGTGAGACACCTCAAGGTTGCCAAAGAGAGTGTGTGTTTGGCGAGTCTTGGCCTACACCTACCAATATAAAGGAGATGTATCTTAGTGACCCATCCACCTTCCTGGAAAGAACAGGATGGACGATTAGCTAGGAGGACAACTCCTCGGGAGGATGTACAATGGGTCGCATGTGGCCTAAATGCTGTGGATCTACACTCACCCTCCCTACTCTACAGGTACAGATACACTGTATACTTTTTGGTTAACCGAATAGAAGGAGCTGTACACAGGAGGGGCCAATAGACAAAAGAAGCCTGAAGAAGCCAACTTGCTTATTTTGGATCTATTCTGCGCATGAGGTTCCAATTCACCTTTTATTTATAAAGGGTGTTCCAAAAGGCACTTCCGAACTTTGACAATTGATAATGACGATCTTGTTGAAGCTACAAATCAAATTGTTAGGCTACTGTTAAATTGTCATTTATTTCGTCCTACTGAGAGGACTATTCGCAATGTGGCGGATAAATTTGAAACCACTGGTTCAGTGAACGAACGACCAACACCATTACGTTGACGAAACGCAAGATCTGGCCGAAAACATCTCCGCTGTCTGTATAGCGTGCAGTAGAAACTGAGATAGTCGATTTCGCATCGCTCACAAAAACTCGGTCTTTCGCAGACTACAACTGAATTGAATGGGCTCTGGAGCAGTTGGCAACTGACCCTAATTTTCATCGGAAAATCATCTTCAGTGATGATGCCCATTTCTCGATGATGGGTACGTGAACAAACAAAATTGAGATCCAAGAGCGTCCAATGCATCCATATTTCTTTGAGAACCATGTTGACCATGCCATCACTATCAACGGCGAGCCCGTGGAGGTGAACTGGTCGCCAAGATCGTGAGATTTGACCCCGTTAGACTTTGTTTGCGGGGTTTTCTCAAGTCTCGTGGTGTATGCGAATAAACCACAAAACACAGCGTTCTTCAAAGCCAACGTAACCCATGCCAGAGTCATGGAAATTTGGACATTTCGGATGTGCCGTGACATACAATTAAACTATGTTTTATTCCACACACAATTTGTTTTATTTAAATTCAAAGATGGGAAGTCGTTAATGAAAGACCCAATAGTTTTTAATCGATGCTATCTATGCACTTTTCGAATTTAATCCCAGTAACTGTCAATTTACAATTATTATTGTTGAATCAAAAAAACTATAACGAAAGTAAAATTATTACACATTGAAAGTAATAGTTTTATTTAATTTCTGATAAGAAATTACTTCTCAACTTCCAAACCGGTACAGTTTCAATTATGGACTTCCTATAGCTGTTCATTTTTCCCAAAGCTATAATGGGCACTGTCACACCAAGTGAAGTTCTTCACCAAATAAAAAATTGAACTGCGGTGGAATTCATGAAAATCTGATTGAATAATAAATGGGAGGATATTTACTTTACCTTACTGAAATATTTTTTCAAATTCAGACCTTCCCTGTTTGGACTATTGTCTCCATTGTAGTCATCACATGTTATATAATTTGTGACGCTGTTTTTCCAAGCACCATCAGATATCATTTCCCTAGAAATGTAAATCAACTTTATCAGAAAGTCTACCTCAGCCATAGGTAGAATCAAATCTAACACTACCAAGAAACAAGAACAGGTCAAATCTATTCTGAAGGATGCCTTTAGGTATGAAAAATGCCCCGACACCCAACCATAATGAAATGTATGACTCTTACTTGATGGCAATGAAGGAACGTAGAGTAAGATCGAAATAAAAAGCAGAAGATATGATTGGCTTGGTATTCAGTTGATACGTTCTCTGCAGGGTCCCCAACCTATCTTGATGAGCAGCATTTGGTGAGGGTTTTACGAATATTATTGTTGCATTGCGACAAACACATTTCATTTCCCCGTCTTCTTGTGTTATGACATGCCAGGCAAATTTCCTGGAGAGGAGAGAATTGTAATTGACAAGTCTACATAAATATCATTCTCACCTGTTGAAAAAATTAACAGAATCAGCTGCATCGAGAACTCGCTTGATATTTTTCAAACTTGCCAAAACGAAATAGTTGACCAAATCTAACTTACGAAGCTGGGTGAGTTGTTCAACAACTTGATTTCCTGTTTTAATGGGTGTGATAATATGCCGTGTAGGTACGTTTTGCAATAGAGACTTATATTTATGGTCCATTACTTCAAAATATGAATGATCGTGAATAACAATTTCCAGAGAAATGAATCATCCTTGAAAAGCTGATCACTTACCGAAAGAATTATCAAACAAAATTGCTGCATTGGTAATATTCTGATTGAGAACGAGTGTTCTAACAATCTCAGGAATTATGTCTGCAGGCGGACAAATTTGGATCAAGTAGTCCTTTTCATTTTCATCAATGTTACGCCACTGCCTTAAATCCCCCTCTTGGCCGAAAGAAGCACTAATCGTCGGCAAGGCCAAAGCTTGGGTGAAAGACTTCACTGTTTCAGATCCTAATCCTGTCATAGTAGTATCCAGGACTAAGTGAGGGTAGGTCTGGGTCTCTAGCATTGCGTTGTAGGTGGAACATACTACAAATATTTTATTTGTGATAAGAATCATTCGTGACTGACACGAAAGATAATTCGGGTTATATTTGCTACTCCAAAAAAAAAAAAAAGAAAATCCGTTAATTTACAAATTTAAGTGATTTTCGAAAAAATAAAAAGTCTACCAATCGATTGACTCTTCTTTATCGAAGAGATTTGAAGTTAACAAAGGAATTACTGGCAAATAAAATATGAAAACGTTTTACAAAAAATATTTGATAAATTTACAACAAATTAAAAACTTTCGATGCGGTGTCATCTAATAATATTTGCTATGAAAAGGAAGATGACTTTAGGGAATAGAATAAAGCTGCACTAAGAATGGAGCTGAAGAGTTCGTAGAGTAACATTAAAAAATTATTTCCAGCGAGCATTCTCTTGAGGTCTGAGAACGGGAAAAAGTCGCTGGGGCCAGATCTGGAGAATACGGTGGATGCGGAAGCCATTCGAAGCCCAATTCGAGCAATTTTGCCGTCGTTTTCATCGACACAGTAACACAGTGCATTGTCTTAATGAAAATGCACTTTTTTTTAATGGGGCCGTTTTTCTGCGATTCCTTCATTGAAACGCTCCATTGTTGGTAATTTGCCAGCCGACTATTGCATCTTTGCACGCTTTGGAGACGGTTCACCAACGTGCAGTCCACTAAGTTGACGATCATTTTGCTTCTGATGTGAAATGATGAAGCAATGTTTCATCTATTATCACATATCGATGCAAAATTCGGGTTTTTTAAAGTGGAACAGCTGCAAACACTGCTCAGAATCATCATTTTGTTGTTTTTGGACTAGGTACCTACCGGACTGAGTCATGGCCGGTGGGAGAAATCGTACATATATAATAATAATTATTTTCACTCGTCAGTTCACAATTCAAATATTGGAAACGTCAAAAAAAGAAAACACAGCACATGTATATATAAAATCTTGAATAGTAGTAAAAATTATAAAGTAATATTCTGATAATTATCACCGGTCATATACCTGAGAGTATAAAATACATTTAAAATGCATTCAGACACCATAGTCACTCAATAAAAAATGCATCTACTTTATAGTAACATTTACTGATTAGAAGCTTTCTCAATTTGTTTTTGAATATTTTGTAATTCCTCTCACTCGCAATACCCTCAGGCAGCTTATTGTATAGTTGAACTCCTGTGAAGGAAGGGGTATTTTCGAACAGAGTTGTTCTATGTTGTGGTATCTACAAGCGAGTACTGTATCTTGTATAATAGTTGTGATTATCACCACTTGTCGGAAGGTTATACAGTTGTAATTTAATTGCCAATAATGATTTCATGATGTATACAGGGTGTAACTGATTGTAACTGACTGTAACTGATTGGAGTCTAAGAAAGTGTCTAAAAACTTCGTAAATTCTGATGTAATCAATGTTGCGTTACGTATACTTATTTCCGGGATCATACTATTGTTTTTTATAGAGTATTGCATAAGAATGGTTTTGTTGTGATTAAGTATTAATCGATTAGAGACACACCAGTTCGTTAACTTTCTCATCAAATTTACATTCATTTTCACTGTGAAATGCAACAGATACATAATCGGCATATAATACTAAGCAATCGGCATTCATATCCTCTGGAAAATCATTGATGAACATAAGGAAAATCAATGGACCCAGTATAGATCCTTGTGGTACTCCTAGATTGATGTTATGCAATTCAGATCGTGCTCCATTGAGTTTCAATGATGTAAAATTTTGTAATTTGGGTTAGCCTATTACATGAATGAATAAATTAATTAATGAATAGAACTCAAAATAACAAATGCAATTGAGTATCTGGGAATTATTCGTGATATTTAAATCACCTTTTGTTATCATCTAGGCCTCTGAAAAAGAGCTATTGAAATAATATTTTCTGAAATCCAACTAGTTAAGACTTACGCGATTCTAGAAATGCATTTGATTCAGTCCGATTTCCGACAACTCTTCTAACATCAACACTCAGTCCAAGTTTATTGTTCTTTTTCAGATAGGTCATGACGACGTCCAGAGTTTTATCCGCTACTTCATTTCCTTCTTCATTAACAAACACTGAAAAATTAAAAAGCTCATCCTTGATTCAATTAATTGATCAAACGAGGTCGAAACCAATCCATTAATAGTGATACGAACTGTTGGAAAACAGTTAAAAATAATTAACGTTAACTTCATATCCATGGGAAAATGTTACATTAATCTTTTTCCTCATTTCAACCCATCAAAGTTGTTAACTTTTTTGACATAACTATACATGGGTGTACCAACATATGCCATTTTAGTAAAAAAAATTGTGATAGTGGTTATACTACATAATTCAAACATTTTGATACACCAACAACCAACTTCACCTGTTCTGTGCTTCATCACATCTAATTTGAGTTTATCACTCATTGCAGCTGCTTTTTTTATCTGCCTCACATGACCAAGCTCGCTCTCTGTTTTGCTTATTGTTCCTTGACATTGGCGGTAAATTAGGAAATTTTTCATGAAATAGGCGAGCTACTTTTGTTGTGTTTGAGTTTTATCTCCGTAACCAATCATTTGTAAAACTGTTATTTTATGCATTTCCGTAAATCTAACAATTTGCCAGACTTGAAGTTAAAGAACTTTAAACTTAAATTGAAACACTGACAACTAATATTGTAACCCCTACTTTATAATAATGCAAGGTAAGGTAAGGTAATGCAGAGAAGTAAGGTAAGGTATCCATTTTTTAACGTTCACGAAAAAGTATGCCGTAGTGATTATAAGTTTTGGTAATTTTTGAGTTGGCAGGATTGCATAAACAAATATTGACTTTTCATTTTCTTGACAGCAGCAATCATTCATATGAAATAAATAATAATTGTCATTTCCATAATATTATACCAATATTAATATTCATTAATAGAACAATACCCAAATTTCACAATGTGACGTTCAAGTTTATCTGGTGACATTACCTTTACATCATTCGGATATATCCGTCAAAATTCGTAGTATGGCGCTTTTTGATTGGTCGGAGGTAGGAACGCAACGCAGAAGTAGCCAACTTGTTACCTTGCCTTACCGACGTTACCTTACCTTACTTTTTATCTAGAACGCAAGTGTGTTTTCTCAATGCTTCAACTTTCTTACCTTACCTTACCTCGTTACCTTGCGTTTTTATAAACTAGGGGTAACTTACAAAACAAGTTGAAAAGGCGTTTTAGACTAACGTTGCCATGGAAATAATTTACAGTTTTTTAAAGAATGCCATCTAAAAAGAACATTGCTATGGTTTTTGCTTACTTTCTTAATATCAATACCTCAACATAAAATTTTGAGTAAATTGTAATAAGTTTAGAGTGTATTTTACCGAATTTCGGTAACCACATAATTTAAATTTATTTTATCTTAATTGTTGCAATAAACTTGAAACGATATATCACAAAGCCTATACTTCCCATTTAAAAAATTGGGGGTTGTACGTGTCATTCGACGGGGGTTGTTAAATTATAATTTTAGATTGGCGTGTTTCGGGATTTTGTTAAAATATGTACCGTAACCGAAATAATGAATTTATTCCATTTGGCTTTTACACACTGTATACGCTGTATATTCAGAAAAAAGGTGAATTTTCATTTTTCTCACAAATGATTCATCAATTTCTATTTGGTTTCCTTCAAAGTAGTCCCTCTCCCATATAAAACACTTGTGCCATCATTTTTTCTAATTCTCGAAGCAGTTCTGATATGCACTTTTTAGTGTGTCCTTGATCTCTCTCAGCGATTCAGTTTTCATCTCCTCAATCGTCGCAAAACGCCGTTCTTTCATGGGTCTCCCCAATCTTGGGAACAGAAAAAAAATGACAGGGGCAAATCTGGTGAATACCGTGGCTGAAGCATGATAACTGGGTTGTTTTTGCCCAAAAAATTACAAACAGGCAGCTTACATATAGCAGGTGCATTACTGTGATGCAAAAGCCATTAATTGTTTTTGAACAATACAGCAACTTCTTCAATAGTGATTCAACGATTCTCCATAACAATTTTCTTCACTTTCTCAACATTTTCGTCGGTTGTTGATGTGCTGGGGCGTTCAAGACGAGCGTCGTCATTTACATCTTCTCGACCTTCTGTGAAAAGCTTCTACCACTTGTGAACATTTATCTGACTCAAAGAACATACACAGTATGCCACTGTCAACATTTCAAGTGTTTTTGAGCACTCAATTCATTTATTAATACAAAATTTGATACAAATTTTTCATCAATTTTTTTCGATATCAGAAAAACGCAGAACAAGCAAAACACTTTAATGCCTTTCACCAACAAACTAAACATGCTAAACAGCTGAGCATATGAACATATGTTCAGTGCACCAACCTAAAAAAATTGCTAATCGACTGTACGTAGCCCGCGAAATTTGAACATTCACATTCACAGCAGTCCACATAGATATATTATGAATATTCAGTGGAGAACTTTGGTGAAAACTCAAAATTTTTAAAACAAAAAAGTATTCTGAATGTTTGATAACTACACTGATAGAAAATGAGTTCAATTCATTCGCCTGAGTCTAAATTTACTTACACACATTAATATTCTGAATTGTTTGTCCTTCGCAATATCCAAATAAGAGAAACTGAAAAATTAATAAACTTTTTTTTGTGCACATTCTGCTCACTTGAAACTGAATAATCAATACGTTTTTCTAGATCATCACTTATGAAAGAAAGTATCCACACCTATATAATAGATACTTCCTCGTGTTGCCAGGGTAAGTTTGATGTAAACATATATGAAGACCACACATATAAATTGTTTATCAGTTAATCGAATTCCTTGCTAGCACATAATGAGAACGGTTTCACAAGGGACATAGATATGTTGTTCGTTGGATATTTCAAGGAACTAACGGAGATATATTCATATAGAAGTCGAGTGAATTTTTAAGAAAAAAAAAATAAGTAATTTATATTCAATGAACGAATGTGCCCCAGTTATTAGCACAGGTTATTCTGTTTTATGTCCATTTGGGGCCCGGGATATCCCTGAGCTGAAAGGGTCATGCTACGAAAGATATCTTTTGAATAGGATATACAATACAATACTTTATTTTTCCTGAGACTCTTTTACAAGCATGGAAATCGTCACATACACAGTAAAGATTGGACTTGATAAAATATGGAATATACATTACAAAATTGAATCAATAGTAGATGTAGGAGATATTTATACAGTGCGGTCCATATGTATGGAATACATTCATTTTTGGCGTTATTATGTACTATGTGAAAAAAACCTGAAACAGGTCGATTTTTAATCTTAAATTGACAATTTACAGTATGAAAATATTATCCCCCTCCAGCACCCCTTCTGAATTATAAGCACCCCCTCGAAAATTTTAAATAGTAAAAGGGGGTCGTGTGGCACGTTGTTGGAAAGGGATTTTAGTCCTCTGTTCAGCAATATAAAGTTTTTTAAGTTTGGTGCAATCATACCTGAGAAAATTAATTTTTACAATTAAATTAAATGTTTAAAGTGACCACCATTATTCACTTCTTGACAATAACCTGATCTATTAAACAGACCATCCCTGTAACACGTTCCTTACTAACCGTGAACCCTGGAAAAAATCTTTGAAGTTACTAAAATATTAGACAAAAAGCCAAATAAACAATTGATAGGAATCTAGTAGGCTGCTGTCATTTAGGTATTGAAAGACGTCAGTATAATATTTGTGGGCGTATTAAATTTAATTATGACTCATTTGTCCGAGACTCAAAGAATAGACATTTTGATTATGATTGGTTGTGGTAATAAAACAAGAACTCAAAAGGAGGTTTGTGAAATTCTTGATAATAAATACCCTGGTCAACACGTGTCGCAGTCTACAAATAGCAAAATGGAAAAAAAGTTTCATGAAACTGGACATGTAAAAAATATTGGAAAACCAGGTAGAAATGTTCAATTTACTGATGAAAAAAAGTTAGATGTACTTCTAGAGATTGAGGAAAATCCGCATAAGACAACTCGAGAACTTGCCGCCGACAATGATGTAAGTAAATCATCTACATCTAAAGTATATTTTAATAGACCAAACAATATTGCTCATTTAAAAGTTAGGATAACGGAAGAAATTAACAAAATAACCCCCGAGGTCATACAAAATGTTGTAAGAGAATTCCAAAATCGCATCGGTTATTGTCAAGAAGTTAATGGTGGTCATTTTGAGCATTTAATTTAAAAGTACATTGAAAAATACATTCTAAATATTATGTGGCATTATTATCTTCACTCTACGTAAAGTTGTGTGATACCTAGAGACATTATCAAAATTTTACATCCTAAAAATCAATTTTCTCAGTTATGATTGCACCAAACTTAAAAAACTTTATATTGCTGAACAGAGGACTAATTATGAGATCCGTTTGATGTTAATTTGTGTACAGGAACTATCAGATTATAATTTTGCCTAAGAGTATAACCAGCAGCTATGCGGGAAACTCATGGTAATGATTCTTAATGTAAGTGACACAATTTTAATATACATGGATATCACAGTTGAAATTTGTAATTCACTGAATAACTGCTTACAAGAATCACCAAATTTTTAAAACACATGGTTCTTACTATCGTTTTTTGAGCAATCAACAGATCATTCAATCTGCTGCAGTTACCGTAGCAGACTAAGCAATAATATAGACTTGAGTGAACATAGGCATAGTAGTAGCTTAATAAAATATTAATGGGAACAGAATTTCTGAGATTTCAAATAACGAAACAATACTTGGATAATTTAATAGAAATAGAGTTAATATGATCATTCCAGGATAATTGGGAGTCAATATTCAACCCTAAGAATTTGACTGATTTTTTCTGCACAATAGATTATTAGTATTATCTCTAACCAATATACTGCAGTCATTTCTCTAAACGAGAAAACAATGGTATCAGATTTATTGCTATTTAGTACGAGGCCGTTTCTGGCGCAGTAATTAAGCATATCTGCAACTGCAATATCAGCCTGGTCAGATAACCCTTCACAAGAAGAAGAACTCAATAAGAAGGACGTGTCATCAGCAAACTGTACAGTACAATGTTATCGAATTATTATTAGAGATGTCGTTGACGAATAAGAGAAAGAGAGTAGGACCCAGGACACTACCTTGGGGAACACCTTTTAAGATGTTACGATTTTCAGAATGATATATTCCAGATTTGAGCCTAACCTTAACCTGCTAGTCATATAAGTCTTAATCCATTTTAGACTTTGGAAGTAAATGCAATTTTCATTTATGGTGTCAGTAAAATTCATAAGTAGGTATCGTCAACAGTTTGTCGGTTCATACATTCAAAAGAAAACTTCTGATGGATTTTTTATGCCAACAGAAACGCACTGAAGTTTCTGATGGACCAATTGATGGATGGGGGACTGAGGAAACTTGGGCGGGTCGAAACAGCGCTGCCTGATGTTAGATCACAAGTTCTTCTAGTTGCCTTACAGTGAAAGACGAAGGACGAGTCTCGTTCGGCGGTCGATGCCGAGGCTTGGCTTTGTAACTGACCTCCTTCGGGAGCCTCGTATATCTTTTCTCTTTGTCAATCGTTTCTTCGTCTGCAAATGCACCACTATTTATTTTCAGTGGTTTGTCACAGAAATATTTTTGTTTTCATGCGCAAACATGTGTGTTACTTCCAAATTCTTGTTTTGTTATTGGCTTTGGAAATATAATTATAGTACTAATGATATTCGCCACTTCGGAGTATACACCGTAAGTCAATATGCGTAGGTAGAACAGAATATGATAAATACACCGTATCATATTCTGGTTATTATCTATAAGTGCTACCTTGAGCAGGGTCCGTGACCAATTTCTTTGTTTTGCATTACAGGTACGTAATAATTTGATAACTCAAAAAGTAAGTCTAGCTATAGGAGAAAAATTAATAGTTTGTTTGAAAACTCCATTAAAATTTTCAAATGATATGTACACCAATGAAATTCTGAACATTTGAGAATATTTACGAATGTTTCGAATATATTCCATCGGAAAAGTTATGTAGGTACTATAGGAGATCGTGGAATATTTTTAAACTTGATATTGTCATATATAAAGTTAGTATTTTTACTATATATTAATGACCTGCCAAAATATATTGGAACATCCTCGATTGTACTTTATGCTGATGGCATATCGATTTCTGCAGCAGCAGATAGTACTGAGGAGCTCGAAGAGTGCTGAATTTTATCAGCAATAATTTTACGACATGGTTTCATGATAATAAGCTTGTCGTTAATGCACAAAATCAATATCAATTAAATTCTTTGGTGAAAAAAGATGTATTAATCANAAAAACGTCCCAACTGCTTAAACAAACGAGATTATTCACAAAGATTACCTCATTCATGTATTGCATGTCACGCCGTACATCTCACATCATTGCTCACCTCGCTTCTGCAAGTCACCACCCCTTTCCACTGCCAACGCCACCGTCGCTCCTACTTCCGGTCCCCCCTCCGCTCGTCCAGAGATATAAATACCAGACCCGAACCAGTGGACAGACAGTCGATGCTTGGGAGTAGGCAGATTGAGACCCTTGCAGAGACCAGCGACGAGACCTGGGGAGTAGGCAGATTGAGGCCCCGGCGTCAAGTCACAAAATCTATGCAGCGTATTACTACCTGAGGAGTAGGCAGATTGAGACCTCGGTGCAGTGATAGCTTCTTGAAAATGACTTCAAAGTCGAAGCCGAACTACTAAAGACGCGGTTTAACCCGCGTCTTGTGTCAATCGGAACGTCCCAACTGCTTAAACAAACGAGATTATTCACAAAGATTACCTCATTCATGTATTGCATGTCACGCCGTACATCTCACATCATTGCTCACCTCGCTTCTGCAAGTCACCACCCCTTTCCACTGCCAACGCCACCGTCGCTCCTACTTCCGGTCCCCCCTCCGCTCGTCCAGAGATATAAATACCAGACCCGAACCAGTGGACAGACAGTCGATGCTTGGGAGTAGGCAGATTGAGACCCTTGCAGAGACCAGCGACGAGACCTGGGGAGTAGGCAGATTGAGGCCCCGGCGTCAAGTCACAAAATCTATGCAGCGTATTACTACCTGAGGAGTAGGCAGATTGAGACCTCGGTGCAGTGATAGCTTCTTGAAAATGACTTCAAAGTCGAAGCCGAACTACTAAAGACGCGGTTTAACCCGCGTCTTGTGTCAATCGGAACGTCGTGAAGTAACTTGGTTTGAGATCTTTTTAAATTTTTGATTTCATTTATGATTGTTCAATTTTATATTTTTTTAGCTCATTTTTTATTTTATTGTACTCATAATTTCATTTCACGTTTTGTTGCTCAATATAATGGTTATTTTTAGCTATCAATTTCAATTTTTCAATTTCATTTGTTTCTTTCAGACATTTCAAATCATATATCATTTTAGACAACAGAAGTCCCAACTAGTAAATTAGCAACAATTTTCACATAAATATGCAGTTCCTTCAATAGTAGCTCAAACAACTGTTCTGGGAGCCTTGATTTTTTCACTCTATTTGAGTTAGTCAAGTTCCTTGGATCTATTGTGTTTGTCAGTGAGTCTAATAGACCTGTGTATGAGAGAATTTAAAACGAAGTTCAATTTATAGAGCTTTACGAAATACCATGTTGCACCTGCTCCAGAACTTACAACAGCTTACACAATAAGCTTCGAAAACACCAAATCCATTGCCACCGAAAAAACTCTCCTTTGACCTCTTTAAATACATAATTTACATGAACAGAAACTCAGTCTCCAGATCTTTGTCTAAGTTGACTAATGCTTGCAAATCATTTCTCCAAGTGATCCATCATTCTTTCATCAACTACCTTCTCAAATAGATTGGATAAAGAACATGTATTAGACGTAAAACATCTACGAGGGTGACTTGACCTAGAGATGGCGGTGATTGTTTAAAAAAAATATCACTGTATTAGGAAGTACACATTCTATAAAGCATATGTTTCAAGTTTGAAGACGCTGCGTGATTTAGTATTTGTTTGGCAGTCATCAAAAGCGAACGTTTTCGAGCATGAACAGTGTTTTAAAGATGTTTCGAGTATTTAGCAAAGTTTCACAGCAACAAAGCAGAAATCTTGCATTGTTTCATAATCACTGACGAAACATGACTCAATCACTTTATATCAGAGACAAAAGAAAAATCAAAACAAAAGAACAACAGGGAGGACCGTCTCCAAAGAAGGCGAAGACCGTTTCATCTGCAGGCAAGGTCATGGCATCGGTTTTTTTAAATGTGCGTGGGATAATTTTAATTGAATATGCACCTTTTTCGCCAGATTAAACCGTATTATTTTCTGTTCCCAAATTTAAAGAAATGGCTCAGTGGTCAAAGATTTTTCTACGATGATGAAGTGATGTCTGCAGTCAATGGCTATTTTGACAAAGATAGTTCTTATTATAAAAACAATATTGAACGTATTGAACATCACTGGAAGAACTGTATAGAGCCGCAAGGAGATTGTGTTGAAAAATAAATTACTTCCAAAATTTTTGTGTTTTGTTTGTCGGGCCGTATACTTCTGGAACCACCCTCGTAAAAAGAGGCTGAGGAAAAATAAAACAAAACAATTTGTACTTGCTTTTATTTTTTGTCGGTTACTGATTATTTCACAAACAATAAATGTAACATCACATGAATGTACCTAATCTAATTATCAACAGACTCGTTATTGTGTACCCTCGTTGAATTATCATGTTAAGCAAGTACCGTGTTGTTTTAAGAAATAAGTTTTTTTGGGGTTTTTTGTTTTAAATTTTTTTTGGGTGGAAATTTATACATTTAGCCGTAATCCAAAAAATATATCTAATTTGCTATTTGAAAACCAAGAATAAGCTACTATTTCTTTCAATGAATGGGTCGACAAGTGTTATCCAAAGAGGCACTAAAGTGTTTCCAAAGAGGCACTAAAGTAAAAGAAACTTATTCTAATTGATACAACTACTCTATTGGGATAAATGTGGATGGTTAGTCGCTAATGCATTATTATTGTTGTTACTATTTTGGAATCCATAAATGTTTTAGTCTCATCCACAAATACCATCCACAACCACCACTGTACAGAAAGTGACCAAGAAGTCACTTTTTCATAAATATACTTGGGGATATATTCAAATCGTTCAAACGAATTCACTGCTCTCGAAAAAAGTGAACATTATGACATTATTATGAAAACGACTTTAAATCCAGAAAGAAACATTAATGTTCAAGCAACATCACAAATACATATTAAGCAATGGTGAAATTGAGAAGACATTAATGAAAATCGGTGAGGAAAATGTTAAATAAATCAGTGACCTGGCTTAATTAACTGATAAAGGTTGAGAAGAATTAGTTGCCAGAAAACTAAGGTGCATGGTTATCCAAAAATAACATTCAGCACTGAAAGTTCAAAGTACACCATAATTCATCCCTTAATTTAGATGTTTGTGCTGCGAAGTTATTTATTCATATGGTGCACAAAAATTTTGTTTTGTCTCATCCGTATGATTACAAGACATACGAAGAATGTTCAGCAAAGATACCAATCGATCTCTCATCGTTTATATAGATTCAATTTTTTTTTGGGTGACAAAGCATGAGCTCACCCCTGCAATCCTAATGATATCCTTTGATAAAAATGTTTTAGAACTAGCAGCCAATAGAGGCTTCGATATTAGAAACACAATACTAAAACTAAGAGCATTTTTTATTTCTTGGATTTTGATTTTTTTGTTTCATTAGATTACATGCTAACTTACCAGCTAGAGAAAGGTCCTAGAGCAACTACTGTACAAAATTCACTAATCGAAATGATTTTTCTTCATACGCCAATCTAATTTCAATCATTCTGTTAAGAAAATAAGACTATAGTTATATAATAGTTATACGCCAATAAAAGAATAGAACTATTGCTTCAAAATAGACCTCAGATGAAGTTAAATGGTTCCCAATTTTTATTTTTCGCCGCCAAGAACTATCCATTAAAACATTGAAGAAAGATTGACTCAGGTAGATAAATCATTTCGAATATGAATGGAAACCTTTTCCAACTGCCCTCGTCTTTAAAATACTGAACTGGAATCAGAAAGAATTTGGCAAAACTTTAACAAATTCATAAAATAATATTTAAAAAAAAAACTTTCGTAAATCATTACTAATAGATAATAAAATTTTGTAAACAAGAAATAAAAGTTGCTAATCCCGTTCAGTATTCAACGCTAAAACTCCATTAACCACTAGAAACTTATTTAAAAAAAGTTGTGGTGATAGTACCAGTTTCAAATTATTCCAGTAAATAGAACTAAGGAGAGGTTATTCAGATAATTTATTTTAAATTTGTTTTTCCGCTTATCTTCTCCTAAGCTCTCTCCGTACTACGATCAACAGGTGTTCTGCTTCGTTCAGATGAAAAAATTCACAGAGCTACGCTACAATGATTATAAATGCCCTAAACATGTAAGATACATCATTCCGGATTATATAACGATAGCGGAACACATACAAAACACTCAACTGTAAAATGTTGGGATGGAAGATCTGCCTCAAGATAAATGATTTAATGCGGATTTTTACAGCGGGTTTTCTCCATTCGATAACTCGGCAGATCTGAGCTAAAATGTGTGTAAACGAGACGAAAAACCAAACCATCTTCCGTCTGATATGAAAGAGTCACTCGCTTAATTTCTGTGAAATTTGATGCATTAAAATACTAACAAAATTTCAACAACAAAACAAAAAAGAAAACAGACGTGTTTAAAAGTGGAAGGTCGAATAACTCTAAAATAGATCCGGTTCAATAGTCGGTCCTGATAGAAAAGTGCGAAAAACACTGCATGCAACATCACAGAAACGTTTCGTATACAACTTTAACGAAACATTTCAATGCAATATTACATCGGAATATGGCACCGAACACGCGAGCTTCAAGTGTTCTGAAAATAATCTTAGTAGTTCAAAGCAGTTCGTATCAGTGATGCTGCAGACCAAATTTCACGAATTTAATTCGAAAAGATCATAGCTTCTTATCAGAAATGTCATATTCCTTCGGGTCCGTTTCCCCGCGCGTTCCTTTCAAGACCGACGACGTGATTCGTGGGAGGGACAACTGTACACTCAACAAAACAAAACGTTTCGAAAAGTACCCTAACAACAAAAGAAATTGGACTAATAATGTAGTTAAGGTCTCGCACGGGACACGACCTGTCAACATAAAACAAACAATATATATATCATATGTAAATAGATAGTACCTCCCTACACAAAAATAATTACACTTATTATTTGATATTATTTTCGTTAATATATATATATGCACAACAAAACAAAGCCTCAGCGAGGGGGAGAGGTCACAAAATGAGTGCCCCACGTTGGGCGCCAACGGCGCTCTTCAATAAATACAAAAGCAGGATTGCGGCATGTCAGATCGTGTGTATGATTGGAGCTGTCAATAGCTCGCATACATTCCTGCACTGAAACTAATATGGCAGTTGTCTGTCTGGGCGTGTTTAGAACTCGCGCATCGATTCTGCATGCCGCTCACATTATCAAAGCCAAAAACTAATTTTTTTAGAGACATTTAGAGGGTGACGGAACGCAGTGTAGGCAGCGTTGAAATCTGAAATGAAACAAACAACTTAGTCATCATAACAATAAACCCATAGCACAGGAACGTGCTTTCAACACTTTGCATGGCCCGGATATCCAGGCCCAATCAGATTCACCCGGAATAAGTTAGCTTTTTTGGCAACAACCGATTTATCACCATAATTGTTTGAAAACGTCATTTAGAGCTCTAAAATGGGCAGATGCTGGCTCTTCTGTCTTGAATACAGTAAGTGTACAGATAAGAAACTTGATATAAAATATAATACGCGGTTAAAAGTGTTCATGAACATTCGACTTCGGCCATCTTACCTGAATAAGACAATCCTCTTCGAGACGAGAAGCAAAACTCCAGTCACCTGGAATTTCTTGCAGAATAAAAGAATGGCGGCGTTTGCGTTCTTTCGGAGGAAGAGGAAGTGGTTCGTACAAATGGCTGTCGTTATCCGGTGTTTCTACCATGTATGATCTTATATCGGAAAGTAGCTGATCACCATCTTGATAAATATCTTCTCGTAGTTGCAGACTCGCCGTTGGACGAGGTAGGTCATTTCCGTTAGAAATCAAACAAGATCGGCACACCTTGAAATAGATTGATGATAATGTATTTTCATAAAAAAAATACTGATTTTGTTGAGATTTCTATAGTGTTTCCAAAGACTGAATTATCAACCTGTATTCCACTAGTTTATTGAAAAAAGTACACATTTGAAATGAAAGTATTTATTCATAGGTCTTTCTATACATAAAATTGCTGCTCTACATTATATAAACCTATCAACCTAGTAAGGTAATAAAAATATTGTCATAACACATAACATTTTATGAAAGCAATGGAGATAAAATTATTATTTTTAAAAATATTCACAAAAAGTCAAAATTGCACACTTTTGTTTTGGGCATCACAAATTGAAACCCGAAATAAGAAATTTGTCTAAACTGTAGAAGCTATTGTTTTTTTAAGATTTCAGAATGTTTCTGAAATTCATAGTATAATTTGATTCCTTACATTTTTTATCTAGAACTTTGCTGAACACATTGCGCAATTTGATTGATCCTCAGAAAGGTTAATTTTCAAATTCAATTTGTCGTAATATCAAACATACTTTCTAGTCTGGTTCACATGTACTCGATTTAGCTCTTTTTGGTGACATTTTTCAGCCCTGTCCAAAAATTAGAACCAAGGTGTCATTCGATTCGTATTTTTGCCTAGAAAGTTTAAGGAAAGGTCCGAAAACGCACCGATAAAAATTACAAAAGTTATAAACAATTTAGTGAAAAAATTTGTGGAATTTGGTGAGAGATGAATTTTAAAAATATTTTCAAATTTTGAGAAGCAAGTCGGCCTTGATAGTGAAGCGAAACCATTTTCTTTTCAATGTGCCCTTTTTATAGTTCATTTTTCTGGCGTCCCATTAGCTAAATCTTTCAAAAAAGTTGAATAAAACCATAATTTCTCATCCTAAACAATTTTTCCCATCTAACATTTTGACGTATCCTGAACAAAAAGGTTATGATTTTCGCTTCTTCACGGCTGACTTGTTTCTCAAAATCAATTTCTCACCAAGACCTTTTTCCCACAATCTTAAAATAAAATTCCATCGCACCTCCCATGACATCAACCCTCGGACACCCTGTATATCACTTTAATTTTTTAATGAATGGTTTTGTGCAAACTGATTTTTCCTCACAACCACTGTTATGAAATTCTCTCACCTCTTCGCCACTCCAAATATCTCTCGAACCTTGGTTATACCAATCAGAATCCTTCTGCCCTTTTTTGGACCAATCACAGGTCGGCGTACTATTGTTGCATTTGTCACACTTTTTTGTTTCGTATTTCTTCCACAATATCTCATTGGGTGAACTTTCTGGACGATCGGGGTGTAAGGCGCAGATCATAGAGTTGTCAGTTTTCCATGCGGTAGTTTTGTCAAAGGTGCAGGTGCAGTAACGCAAAAATGGTTCGGGGCTGAGAAAACCGAAGTCATCCTGCAACAATACAAATAGATTAGACACAATGACAAATTAGTTCGAGAATGCATCAAGCTTTTTGAGTTAGCAAAACTAACTGATGATAAACATTGAAAGAATCTATACCAGCGATACTCAACCTATGCTGCCCTCTAGCGGTTCTAGCCTTTTCTGCAGCCTGAAGACTAATACAATATTTTGAGATTATTTGACAATAGTATTTTCTGATAACGACACAAAAATGTGTAGGGGTTTTCGACCCAAATCGAATACTGTAGTCGAACACTGGAAAGCCTAGTGTTCGAATACTCGCGAACGGTATTGGCAAGACTGAATGCCGGATCTCCGGTTTCATCGACACGTGGAAGAAAAATCATGATTCTTCTCTCTCTTTAGTTCAAGTCTTCAAGCGAGTAACATCTCATTCTTGTGCAAAGTAAAACTGTTCATTTCGAGGTTAGTTCCCCAAAGCCACGTGGTACTTGTAAATTATTGTGTTCGT